GGAGATAGCCGGGGAAGGCGGCAGCACGAGGACGACCCATGGGTCTATGGCAACGACCCTTGGCAAAGAGACTGGCATGGACGCTACGATGATGGTGGAAGCCGCTACCACCGATGGAACGACGGCAGAGATGACGGACATCGCGTACATGACCATGGAGGATTCCGAGGCGCTCCCTGGGCAGATGGTCGAGACAAAGGGTTTAGAGGGCTTGATTCAGGAGGCGTTCAGTGGGATCCCAAGGCTGATGGTAGAGATTACGGACATCACGTACATGACCGTGGAGGATTCCAAGGTGCTCCCTGGGCAGATGGTCGAGACGGTAGCTTTAGGTTACATGATCAAGGGGATCCTCATCGCTGGATTGACTCCTATGTGGGAGGTTCAGATTCCGGGTCTCGTTCTGAAGGGTGGCAAAGCTATGGTGGGTGGCAACCAGACCAAGGGACACAGTCTGGGTGGACTAACTGGAACTCCGAAGACCATGGCAAAGGACCCCGACCCTCAGAACGACTCACAGTCCCCACCTTCACCGCCGAGGACTCCGACGACTTGGGCAACTCCGCGAGGTCGTACCTCCGCCAGATTGAGGTCTGGCGTCGCATAACAAGGTTGCCTGCAAGCCAGCTCGGGTTAGTGTTATACCAACATCTGGGCGGGAAAGCCTGGATTGCAGCAGAGGAGCTCTCGGTTGCAAAGCTCAGTACCAATGGCGGGCTGCAGTATACTTCACTAGCTGGGTTGCCGCGAGGTTCTTGGACTTGGAGGTGGCACGTATTGGCCGGGCTTTCTCTGACTTCTTCAGGAAGCTCAGGAGGAAACCGGGACAGACGATCCGCGAGTACAACACTGAGTACGATCGGCTCCATGGGAGGTTGCGCGAGGTAGGCTGCTCTTTGCCGGAGGAGTGCGCGGCCTGGCTCTACTTAGATCGGCTGCAGCTGGAGGAGGCACAAGAGTTGAACCTGCTCGCCAGCGTAGGGAACCGGTACAGCCTACATCATCTACAACACGCTGCCGTTCTTCACGACAGGGGCCAGAGGAAGCCCTGGGAGGCTGGCGGAGGCAGGCCGAGACGCCCGAACTTCGCCCACGTGACGGATCACGCGGGCGAGTCCGACGAGGAGGAGCTCTTTGACGGCGAGGAGGCGATACCCGAGGACGTGGCCGAGGCGTACATGACCTACCAGTCCGCCAAGGAGCGCTACAGGACCCAGCAGAGGAGCCGTGGGACCACCAGTGGAGGACAAGGCGACGGCGGAGAAAGGGCACCGAAGGGCGACGGGCAGTCTGGAGACCGCAAGGCTGGAGATGGAGGACGTGACGGTGATCGCGAGGCCAAGCTCAAAGCGATGAAAGCCCGGAGCTTTTGCGGAGGCTGCGGAAGACGCGGTCATTGGCATCGCGACGATGCCTGTCCTTTGAACCGCGGCGGAGACAAGGGCAAAGCGGATCAGAGTGCGAGCGTTGCCATGACTACGGTGCTCCCGGCGGACGTCTACGCCTTGAAACACCTGCCCAGCCGATTGCTGGGGGTCGCCGACACGGCTTGCGCAAGGACAGTGGCCGGTACGCAGTGGCTGCAGTCTTACACGGACCTCCTCAACGAGCTCGGGGAGAAGCCAGTCCTGCAGAAAGAGTGCGAGGCCTACCGGTTCGGGGCGGGGAAGGTGCACTACTCTTCGTTCTATGTCGTTGTGGCTTTTCGACTCGGTAACTACAACATCCAAGTGCGCACATCCATCATCACCGGGGACCTGCCATTGCTGCTCAGCAAAACGGTCCTTGGAAAGCTAGGCATGGTGTACGATGTACAGAATGGCAGGGCTGACTTCAAGGCCATCGACCTCAAGGACTACGAGCTGACTACCACTACTTCGGGGCACCCAGCCCTACCGATCGTTCCTGTCAGTGCTCTGTCTGGCGAAACGTCAGACTTACAGATCCAGGACCTCAGACTGCAGACCGCTGAG